TCTTTAACAAATCTTAGTCCCCTTAGTTTCCTTCCAATCAAAAAATATATTTGTTTGGGAAGATGATTACAATAATATCAATAAGTTAAAATGCAAGCTACCAAATGCTGTAGATTATATAGTATGATCCAAATTTCCTTAGGGAAAAAAAAATTGCTGTGTGCTTCAGGCATACTCAGGAGGTGAAAGGATTCTAGAAAGCACATTACTGTGAAGGGGAGAAAATGTGTATTTTCATTATAACAAAGTTACTTTGATGAAAACCACTTTGAAACATTCCTGCTTGGTTTTTTAAGGTTCAAGAGCACTGTGGGTCCAGGCTGAGTGGAATATGTCAGGGAGCTATGGCGACCAGAAGAGCTGGAAATGCGTGTCCATTTGGGATGCATTAATGATGTTTTGTGATTCTTTATATATGGCCTTGGGTGGCTATTCTGAGGAAAAATTACGAGTTTGTGATTTATATCACATGACTATTCAGCAAAATGTAAGAGAATGATGAGCCAACCATGTTTTTATTACACCAAAAGGAAATATTTTTCAAATTATATCAGCACCCTTGTGGTTTCTAACATTCCTGCTCCTCCCTCACTCATTTCTAAGAAAATATATGCTCTTTTTTAGTATAAATGTTTTAGGCCAAAATACTATTTATTCAGTAATATCTACAAACATGAGACCATGCAGGCTTAACAGGGACTATTCTTGGCAAAAAAGAGGAAGGAGCTGACCCCAACCCAGGGGATGAGGAGAGTCTCAAAGTAGAAAGGCCATCACATTGTCCTCTCCAAACACACTCACACAGAATATTCTAGAAAACCTATGTGAGGTTAAAATTCTGCCCTTCATGCCTAATAATATTTGACAAATATTTTATCAAAATATAGACCCTCTTGGAAACAGCTGCATCCGTATGTCCTGCTTGGCCTCCTGCAGTTCAGGCAAGGGCACTGCAGGTGGCCAGCCCAGGTGGGACATGAAAGGGAGCCCTTGGCAAACATGAGCCGCTGAAAATGAACATGTTTCAGTGGGAAGCACTGCACTAGGCACAGAAGGGAAAAATTGTTCTTGTTCCTCAAAAGCTCACAAGAGGTATGGAGATCAGCAGAGAAGGACTTTAAGAAAACCGTAATATAACAAAAAAAGGGAAAAAAAGAGAAAGAAAACCGTAATATGTTGTTAACATAGATAAATTCGTATGAGGCAGAATTGAGTAAGTTTAATAACAAAGTTATGGGAAGTCATGAGAGACCCAAATAAGAGCTACTAATTGCAATTCTGGAGGTTTGGTGTAGCATCTCCAGGTGCCCATCATCTCAGTAGGACCCTCCTAGACCCTCCAGCGCTGATTCAGCACCTGCTAACTTTCCACAGCACACAGAGCATCTTGTACTGCATGTTGGCAACAATAATAACAACAGTGGATAAAGGTAGGCAAAGGAATAAAAACAATAATGATGATGGCTAATATATACTGAGCATTTAGGGAGAAAGTGTAACATATAATTAAAATGAATATATTAAAATATATAATTAAAGGTGTAATATAAAATTATACATCTGAGTTAGAGAATGAGTGATATGGCACGATTTTGCTGAAACTCGCAGAAAGAAGGGACACTTAGTTCAACTGACAACACTGAGCCTAGCCCACTCACCTGCCCTTCTGCCTAATTGGCCAACACACACCTTCCTTCCCATGGGGAATATGAAGAAAGCACATCAATGAACTGGCTACTTAGCTTCCTGATAACTAACTAGAAATATTTCACTAAGAAATAATAAAGTGGTGAGAGGATATGCCATTTTTTCTGTTGATGCAAAGTGATTTTCCAGGATTTCTGTAAATTAGTCTTCTCAGAATCTCAGCGGAAAAATACACACGACTATTTTTAAAATCTATTCATTGAACTGGCTCACTGTTTGTGTTGACCATGAGCACACAGTGATGTCATAACTTCTGCTTCGTAAGAAAAAGGCATTTTTTCTTTATCATTAAGAAACGGTGATGGAAAATAAAATTCAATTAAATAAAAAAGAAATCGTTCTACTGGCAAAAAGAGGTACAGGATTCTGTGCATGCCCTTTAAAAAGGAAATGTTTCCTATTATCCTACGGCTGCAACTGACAGATAAGATGGGAACTAGTTTTTATTTCTTTAACCATCTTTTCTTCAAATCTGTTTCCCAGCATAGAGTTAAAAGTCAGTTCATAAGCCTTCATGTATACAAAGCCTATTTGGGGCTTCTTTAATTTTTTTCCTATTTGATGAGCTGTTAAAGTGATTGCTTCCTTATCTCTCTTCATTTCATAGTGAGTTGATATGGGGTTATGAACAGAGGATACTGTGGATTGGCCTGTTCGTCCTCTATTCCACCCTTTTCCTAGCTCCCTGCTGAGACTTCATTTAAAACTGCCTCTCCTGGACTGCTAAGCAACTACTATTCCAGATGCAAATTAATCTTACCTATTAGATGCACTTGAGGGAGATTTGAAAGGAGGGAGGGAGTTGGAACCCATCTATCTGGCCCCATTTCTGTTGGAGACAGTTTGGGCCACAGGAATGGCAACAGAAGCTGGGGCTTTCTAATTCCTAAACCACAGTTAGGGCAGCAGGTTCTTAAACTAAGCAATTTCAGGAGCCACCTCTTGACTCTTGACTCCCACATATTTATTCTTCTAATGATTTTTAAGTGCCTAATTCTCCATATGAAATAACTTTCTGTGAAAATGCCTAGGAAGATTTCTGTTCCTTGCCTAAACCTTGACTAATATATAGTCTCCATTCCCTCATCTGATGATGCAATATATGAACCAGAACAGCATTAATACCTAACAATCCTATATAATAAAGAGATAATATATATGCAAATTAACCCTCACGCCCTCACAAGATGGCTGTCTGCGACCAGGCCAGCATGGGAGGGTAGTGAGGGATGACCAAACAACTGAACAAGCAGGCTGCGTGGGGCGACCAGGCCGGCAGAGAAGTTAGTGAGGGATGACCAAACGACTGAGTAGCAGGCTGCATGGGGTGGCCAGGCTGTCAGGCGGACCATGAGGGGCAACCAAGTCGGCAGGGGGGCAGTTGGGGGTGACCAGGCTGGCAGGGGGGGAAGTTGGGGGTAATTAGGCTGGCAGGGGGGCAGTTAGGGATGATCAAGTAGGCACGCAGAGGCAGTGAGGGGCTATAAGGCTGGCAGGGGAGGGCAGTTAGAGGCGACCACACCGGCAGGCAGGTGAGCGATTAGGAGCCCGTGGTCCAGGATTGTGAGAGGGATGTCCCGGATTGGAGAGGGTGCAGGCTGGGCTGAGGGGACCACACCCCCATCCCCCATGCATGAATTTTGTGCACCGGGTCTCTAGTATTTACATAATGCTTTGCAGTTTACAAAGTACATGCACATAAATTATCTACATTAATCCTGACCACAAGACTGAGAGGTGGTGGGACAGGGGCTGCTCTCCCCATTATACAGATGAGAAAGCTGAGTCTCAGAAGAGTTAGGTGACTTAGCAAGACATTTACTTAGTAAGAGATGGAGACAAAACTCAACCCCACATTTTATAACTCTTTTCTTTTCTTTTTAAATTACATTTGACATACAATATTCTATTAGTTTCAGGTGTACAACCTGTGATTATGATTCTCAGTCCTTTCCTTTGATACTAGAAAGCCTCCCAAGGGCAAATGAAGAGGGGGAGAGAGCACATAGATGCTAGCAATGATTAAACCTTCTATTTCTTACTGAAAAATAAAACATCATTACACCCTAAAATCATTAAATTAAACTGAAACACCTAAGGACGAAATAGCAAATATGGGCTATTTCACAGAGAGTGGCTTTGGATCCAGCAGAGCCTGTGCCTCAAGTTCACAGGATCCCCCCTTTGAAGACACTTTGCTGTTAATTCAGATACATGAGAGGTTCAGCCCCATTTTCCAACTCTGACCATGACTTCTCCTTCTGCATAATTATCTTGGCTAAACCAAGAGTGGCTAGAAGACTTGGGGAGGCCAAGATTCGTTTCTCCATTTCTCCCTGATGGCAATTTCACCTAAGATCCACTCCCTCTCCAACAAGGGCTCCCCAAAAAGATTTCCTTTCCCCCACTTGCTACATAGATATAATTTAGTAAAACACTTTATTTCAATGCTCAAGAAACCAAGAAGAAAAACATTAAGTAGGCAGAGCTTGTTTTTGACCACTTCGAAAGTGGTCAGATTCTCTCTCTCCATTATCCACCATTCCTCCACTTCACAGCAGTAAGTCTAACAATAGGGTGAAGGTTCAGGAGCTCTAAGAAGCAAACTTCTAACCCTATGGTCCCTACTCCCTGAGAGCAACATCAACCCGAAACCAGCATGCCAGTGCTTTGAGATCATATCACAGCCAGCCTCACAACTCTGGAATTCCACAATTCCCTGCCCTTACTTTCATTCTCGGTGCGCTTCCTTCAGTCTCATATGATCAAGTCAGAAGGGGAACTGTTACTCTATAGCAGCGGTTCTCAACCTGTGGGTCGCGACCCCTTTGGGGTCGAACGACCCTTTCACAGGGCTCCTAAGACCATCGGAAAACACATATATAATTACATATTGTTTTGTGATTAATCACCATGCTTTAATGATGTTCAATTTGTAACAATGAAAATATATCCTGCATATCAGATATTTACATTATGATTCATAACAGTAGCAAATTACAGCTATGAAGTAGCAACGAAAATAATTTTATGGTTGGGGGTCACCACAACATGAGGAACTGTATTAAAGGGTCACGGCATTAGGAAGGTCGAGAACCACTGCTCTATAGCATCCTACTTCTGCTCTTGCATCAAAATACCATGTGATTCCTTCCCACACACAAAAATAATAACTATAAAAATTAAAATTATGAAAAGTATACCTGATTCATTAGGCAAATTCAATTATACCTTTTCTGTAAAATCAAGACATGTAAAAGGCTATATTGAAAGGCAATAGACTCTATACTAACCTGGGGGAAGAGAGAATAAGTTGAATTGTCAATGGTGAATGAGTATAAAAACTCTCCATCATACCACATGCTCGTCCCCATGGGGGAATTCATTTTAGTCATAGCAAAGAGATGGGCAGGGTCACAGCAGTCTTCCATCTGTTTCCTAGGAGAAAAAATAGGGAGAGAAAAGAACACTGGGTTAAGTGAGCAGCAGACTCATTCACTTGTCATCCCCACAGAGATGTGCAGTTTTACCTCAGTGCCAACTCACAAAAGCATCTGTGTCTCCAGGGCGATTAGACTACTATTAATTCATTCTTCCAGCCACCAGAATGCATGACTGGAACTTTTCACAATAAAAATAAGTTTAAGAAAAATACATCAGCTCTCAGATGCAGGTGAAAGATGTCCAAAGGCAAAAAGCATCATGGTAACTGCAGAGTTATTGATTGATTTAAACATCCAGTTCCAGAAGGTGGCTAACTGTGGAGACTGTAGAGCTATTCAGCTGCAGCAGAAGTGCACCTCTATGGTGGTTTAACAATCAGGTAGTTAAGTTCAGTGACAAGGGACTTTACATGAGCCACGTGGAGCAGGGAATGGCTCACAGGGGTCCAAAAGAGGGTGCATTCCCCATCTGTGGACAAGATTAAAGAACAACTCCTGGGAAACCTTTTTAAATAGAAACAAAATGAGATGACTGATGTGATTTCAGACACTAGGGAAGCAGCCTGCCTTCTAACTGATACATCTCCTGGGGCTTGTCAGCTCGAATTTTGTCTGAACTCTCAGTAGTGTTCAACACAGTCGAGCACCCTGACCTTTGCAAAGACCTCCTCACTCCCTTGGTGTCTGGAACAGCAGGGTCGCCTGAGTCACCTCACCCTTTGTGCAGGCTGCTCCTCCACCTGACCCTCTGAGGTAAGCCCTGATACTGTTCTATAGACCAGTCTTTATATTCTCCTCTAACCAAAAGTTTTGTCAGAAACTCATTCCATTTACTCACTGAACTCTCCTGAGTAACAGAGTTTAATTCTCCAGTGACACCTCTAAAAGGACTTGCTGACATAAGCCAATTCTGAATGGCAACCCCACACAGACATGCTCACTCAGACATTTTAGCTACCCATGGTACAGAAGCTTAGAGTTGAAAGGAGACAGTAATGTAGAGTGCTGGGTTCAAATCCTGGCTCTGCCATTTACTAACTCCTTCACTGGGGAATGTTACTGGGCTTCAGAACGGGCTTCAGAGACTGTTTCTGAGAATGTACATGTGGAAAACAGAGTAAAGGTTCAATACATGTTGTTGTTATTCTATAACCTCAACCTCATTGTAGAGATGAATAAGCTGATTCAGTGTTAGGCCACAAAACAAGTCTTAGCAAATTCAAGAAGACTGAAATATACTAAGTATCTTCTCTGACAACAATGGCATGAAACTAGAAATCAATAATAAGAGGAAAACGAGAAAATTCATAAACTCATAACCAGCACTCTCTTGTACAATCAATGGATCAAAGAAGAAATTAAAGGGGAAATAAAAGTTTATTGATACAAACCAAAATGGAAACACAACATACCGGAACTTGTGGGATGAAGCAAAAGCAGTTCTAAAAGGCAAGTTCATAGCAATAAATGCCAACATTAAGACACAAGAAAGTTCTCAAATAAACAACCTAACTCTACACCGTAAACTACTAGAACAAGAACAACAAAGTTGGCAGGAGAAAGGAAATAATAAAATTAGAGCAGAAATAAATATAATAGAGAATAGAAAAACTATAGAAAATATCAACCCAACTAAGGTGTGGTTATTTAAAAAGATAAACAAAATTGACAAACCCTTAGCTAGAGTAACCAAGGGGTGAAAAAAACCCCAACAAAGTATAAATGAAAAATGAAACATTACAACTGATACCACAGAAATTCAAAGGATCACAAAAGGCTACTCTGAACAAATATATGCCAACAAACTGGACAATCTAGAAGAAATAGAAAAATTCTTAGAAACATATAATTTACTAAGACTGAATCAATAAGAAATAGAAAATCAAAATAGATCAATTATTTGTAAGGAGATTAAATAAGTAACAAAAAACCTCCCAAAGAAAAACCCAGGAACAGATGGCTTCACTGGTAAATTTACCAAATATTTAAATATGAATAAATACCAATCCTTCTCAAACTCTTCCCAAAAAATTCAAGAGGAAGGAACACTCCCAAACTGATAGAATGAGGCCAGAATTATCCTGATGCCAAAACAAGAACAAGATGCTACTATTAAAAAAGAAAAGTACAGGCCCAACTCCCTAATGAATACCATTGCAAAAATTCTCAATAAAATACTATCAAACCAAATTCAGCAGTACATTAAAAGGATCAGACACCATGATCACGTAGGATTTTTCCCTAGGATGCAGGGATGGTTCAACATATGCAAATCAATCAATGTGATACATATTGATTAGAATGAAAGAAAAGAATATACAATCATATCCACAGACACAGAAAAGGCATTCAACAACATTCAATATCCATTCAAGATAAAAACTCTTTAAAAATCAGGCATAAAAGGAACATATCTCAACATAATAAAGGCCACGTATGACAAGTTCACAGCTAACAAAATACTCAACGGTGAAAGGTTGAAAGCCCTTCCTCTAAAATCAGGAACAAGAGCTCCCATTCTTATCACTCTCCCTCAACATAGTCCTAGAAGTCTTAGCCAAAGCAATCAGGGAAGAAAAAGAAATAAAATGTATCAGAATTAGAAAGAAAGAAGTAAAATTATCTCTATTTGCGGATGGCATGATTTTTACATCAATAACATCCTAAAGACTCAAATAACCATTAGGTCTAATCAGTGAATTCAGTAAAGCTGCGGATTACAAAATTAACGTACAAAAATCAGTAGTGTTTCTCTACATTAACAACAAATTTTCCAGAGAGAAAAATGGATCACATTTACAATAGCATCAAAAAAATTTAAATACTTAGAAATAAATTTAACTAAGGAGGTAAAAGATCTTTACTCTAAAAGCTACAAGACACTAATGAAAAAATATCAAAGAAGACACAAATAAATGGGAAAGTATCCCAGATTCACAGATCAGAAAAATTAATATTGTTAAAATGGCAATACTACCAAAAGCTGTAAACATCTGTTGAAAGGAAAGGCCAAGTTGATGAACCTTGCTAAGTGAGAGTCAACTAGTAGTAGATTCTGACCCATGTGCCTAGCCAAGGAAAAATACTGGGTAATGAGGCATCCCAGTTAAGAGCATGGACCCTGGAGCCACACTGCCTGCGTTTGAAACCTGGCTGTCTCATTTACTAGTATGTATACTGGAGCAGGCTCCTTAACCTCGCTCAAGCCCTCATCCTTGGGATGGTTAACTTACTTCATAGGATTGTGAAGAGACTAAGAGTAAAGTTCTTAGAACTATTCCTGGCTCTATGTCCTTTTATACATAAGTGATACATTATAAGTATTCGCTAAATAAAGTAAATTCAGTTCAGGAGAGAGGGAGAGAGAGAATGGAAGATAGATAACCTTAGGAAAGATACTATATTTTTCTGCCAATTATGTTTATAACATTTTAAAAAATAATACAAGGCAGAATAATAGTTATAGAATTACTTGATGTACTAACTTTCAAAACATTAAAGAAAATAACCTTTAAAAAGTATATTTAATTTTCAGTTATTTAATTCCATTAAGACAATGAGATGTTCAGTGAGGGAAATGTCCTAGTTGGGAACTCTTCATATCTTGTTATGAGGAATTAATAGTTAAATGTCACATTTGCCCCTAAAGAATTCATGAGGGGAAAAAAGCTCTTAAAAAAATCATGAGAAATCATCATGACCCAGTCTTAACAGAGACTCCTCATAGCCCTCTGACCTGCTTTGTTCTTCTCTACAGCACTGAACACTGTTTATATGTTGTATGTTTAATTTATAGTTTGGCTTATTATCTGTCTCCCCAAGTCCCAGAATACAAACTCCATGAGGAGAGGGACTTTTGTCTTCTGCTCACCGCTGGATCCCCACCCCCTGAAATGGTGGCTGACACACTGAACACAAATGTAATAATCGTTGTTTGAATGAATAAATAACAAGTAGGAAAGAAAGAAGAAAACATTAGAGAAACAAGAGGATCTCAATGCACGTTTTGTTCTCAAAATTCAAATTGAAGAAGTCAATTCCTTATAGTTCTAGCCTATGGAGACCAAAAAACCCCAAAAGATTGTCAAAATAATTGCTGTAGACTAGTAAACATTTCCACTAGAGGCCGACCCAGGATTTTTTGGATTTGCTGAAGGGTGAATCCCAAGTTCCATATAGGGTGCATTAAACATTAGCCTGATGTGGGAAGCTGATATAGGGTTAAGCCTCGGACTGACCTGTGGGCAAAGTCACAAACAATTCCCAGCTTAGAGGGCACAGTCCTCTTAGCATAATTAGGCTTGACCTTATAACACTCCCTAGATCTTATCTGGGAAGCTAATGGGCTGAGGAAATGCAGGAAGTATAACCATGGTGTCAACAAGTGAAACTCACAAGAACAAAAACAAGTGAAACTCACAAGAACAGTGTAACTTTGGTAACCACTCCCTTGTTTACTTCTCACTATAAAAAGCTTGGTGAGGCCTGGGCACAGGGGAAGTCCTTCCTCTTGAGTTGGAGTCCCCCGCCTGGTCCCCCAATATTCCCAAATTATCTTGTGTCTTTTCTTTTTCATTTGTTGTGCGGCTCCTCTTCCAGACCCGAACCCTGAACCACGCAGGACGTGGAAGGAAACACTTAGGACAGCCTGACTAAAGCGAGCATCCATTAGGATTGCAGACCTGCAACACGGGGACCACAGGAACAGTCCACCAGCTGAGGGTGCTGATAAATTGTTCCCTTCACCAAAGTGTCAAACTTTCAAAATCTGACTTTACAATGTTTAATAAGGCTTCAGATTTAATCTTGTCTTCAAACACTTCTTTCTATTCCATTAATATATCATTTCAGTCAAGTATTGATTTTAACTTTTGGCTTTTGGCCAAATGTGTATCTAATGTACTTCCTCCAAACAGCCAAATCAATAGCCTTTATTGTAAACTGTCACGAGTCAAGTTCCTAAAATTCCTTTTAGACTATTATATGTTAACTCCC